CTGTCTCTGACACGTCCTGAGTAATAGCCTGGGAATTATGAGCACACCCCACTCCTCCAGACAGTATTTACAATCCAGATTTTGCCCCTAGCGCTTTAATGCTCAAACCAAGCCTGCCGTTTGCATATATTATCTGTGGATGTGCTCATTTATGGTTCACAGTCTAAACCAGAGCAGAGTGGCCCACAGCGGTAAGATTCGTAGAGTCTGCCACCTGTCTCAGCCCTCCCCTTTTGCAGAATACGCCATGTTAGATTTGAAGTTGCACACATAAGTCTAGTGTGAGGCGGGTGCTGTAGGTAAGAGACTGCTCATTACAGACATGGATGCTCTCAGTTCAAAGCCTGCCTCCCGGTCACATCAAGGCACGTCTATTTGTACTGCTTTTTAATGATGCTAACTCCTCCAAATAGCTTTCTCAAAACATATGAGAAGACGAGGCATGTAAAATAGCTGGCTTTACAAATTTTGATGTTGATATTTTTGTATTTTATCATTACTCCTAATAAATACATTTCTATATATGGCCCCTATTCGCATTCTTAAACATTTGAGAAGACGAGGCACGCAGAAGTACCAAGGTTTTTACTTAGATGTTGGTATTTATGTATTTTATCTTTACTCATAATATAATACATTCCTATATATAGCCTTATTAACTCTACTGGCTCAACAGCATTAGAAATGGGTTGATGTAGAGCTGTCAAAATATATTCACGTTGTTTCCCATTGCACAGAGAAGCATCATAGAACATGTGTGAACTGCATTTGTGTCTCCAAGGAGCTCACTGACCTTACAGCATGTCCTTGCAGGGCCTGTAGTTGCCATTGGTGCTCACATGTTGTAGAAATGAAGGTATAATGTTTGGATCTGTATCAGAAAGCACATCTAATAATAAAGAGAGAATAAAAGAGAGACCAGGGGAAGACATACGATAAATTCATATCAACAAAACACCAAAGCAAACGTTACTGTATAAACACTACCATTCAAATGTTTGGACTCACTTTTTCTTTTATTTTTCTTCTTTATTTACATGATTATTTACATTGTAGAGTCTCTGTGGAGGCATCAAAACTATGTATGAACACATATGGAATGTAGCAAACAAAAAATATATTCAAAATTACTCAAAACTTGTTGTAGATGAAAAAAAAAAAATATATATATATATATATATATATATATATATATGTGTGTGTGTGTGTCTGTGTGTGTATGTATGTATATATATATATATATATATATATATAATGTATGTGTGTGTATATATCAGGAGCCTTCATCAAGAGAAGGCCAAGGGTTTGCAACACTGTCAACAAAGCAAAGGAAAGTTACTGTGAGGATATGAATATAACATACAAAATTATTAGTTAAAAAAATATATTTAGCTAAAAAGTTATTTAGCTTTTATTATTTGCTATATGCATCACATATTTGATGTTTTCTGTACACATCTAAAATGTAGAAAGTTGTAAACATAAAAAAGGGTCCAAACATTTTACTGGTAGTGTATGTTTTGCCAGATATTTTATTGTGTATCAGTACTGAAAATACTGAAACAAAGTATGTTTTAAAATAGTCTTGACCTATAAGTCAGCATTGTACTATTAAAGAAACTACAGTAATTTTGGTTTGAAAATTGCATAATATTACCTCAAGAGGGGTACTTTTTTAGTGTTGCAATAGTTAGACTTTAGTATGTAGACACATCTCAGTATTGGTATTCTATCATATCTTCACAACTCGACTAGACAGTTGTTGTTCATTTTGTTTTCACACTCTTTTAGAATAGGCCATTGTTTGTCTCTTTCAAAAAAAAAAAAAAAAAAAAAACGGAAAACACTTGCCAAGGACCCTGCCTCGCCGCCCCCCGCCAGCATGGTTCTAGTCTGAAGAGCTGCGCTGTTGTCAAGTACCTCTCTATCCTCTAGTTTTGCATTCAGCCCTTAGTAACAGTGAGCGCCCTTAAAAATGTATGTTATCTGATGCTTTCCAAACACGTCCTCCAGCCTTATACCTCTTTCTATCCTCCTCTGGCCTCTCTCTCTCCACTTAATTCTTATTACACCCGGGTGACCTGCTCATACCAACCTCTGTCACCCTAAATTTTTATATTTCCTGCTTTCATCCTCCCACTGGCTGTCGTGACTCATCCCAAGCTGTCTCTCCATGGGCAAAAAGGCAAATTAAATCATTATTCATGCACGACATAGTATTCTCTATAGCTGTTATATGTCAGCGGTGTCAAAATGTAGTTATGCAAGTCTGAACGCTAGACAGACTGATGTTCAGGTGAAGATGGAGTAGATACTTTCCTCCCAGAGGACACAGCGCTCAGTTTTATGTTTATGTTTAAAGATGTCCTTCAAGTGGAAAAGTGGTACATAGCCAGCTGTTTTTTTGAGTGGAGGTTGTGAAATCTATTCTTTTCTTCGGCCACAGATGAGCAGACACGAGCAGTCATTCATAATACATTGCACTTCAGTGCCAGAAATACCCCAACAGGGACGTGCTGTTGTCTATAAGAGTGTGCAAATGCGTGTGTGAATCCAGGCTGGCCTTAATAATAGAGACAGCAAACAGGTGAGACGTGAAGCTGACTCAAACCGCAACCACAAAAGCAGCGGTCCTCACGGGGTTAGCTTGTTGTGCTACCGCAAAGATATCTTGAAGAAGGAGTTACATTGATATTATAATCTGTGTCTGAAGAGAATTTGTTTTTAAGGGACCTATCTTGTCATTTGGTTTGTGGGTTTGTGGTTGCAGTTATTGTGTGTTTAATGTAACCCTTTCCTGTAATCGAGGTAGTTATTTACTCTCATCTCCATCATGTCTGTCCTGGGAAAACCCCAAACAATGGCAGCTACTTTTAAATACACATCTCATGCATTGTTTCTATTGTTATTGTCTATGCCTATGTATAGAAAACTGTTACAATTTTCCATCAGATATTTTCCCTTTATTTGATTTAGCCTACCATCTGCTGGCAGCAGTTGGATTGAACCATGAAAAAAAAAGCAAACTCTTTACAACTTGACCAGCACGCTAATATAAGCATGGAGTTAACAGAAGTGCTCAGAACGAAACTTGGATGCTGTGGAAATGTGGAAATTTGGAGTTGTAATACTTGAATCCTTATTAGAAAGTATGTTTAAAGGAGAGAGCAGAGGGAGACATATGGTCCATTGATTTTGGACTTAAAAACTTCATAGGATTTCCACCTTTGATGTCACAATCCAGGGAAAATTCAAAAAGAGAGTTTTCTGGGGCTCAATTATCAGTGGGTAAAGTGGGCCTAGTGGGTTAAGTTGGGTAATGATTATGAAAATTTTTTGGAGAGCTACCCTGAATTATTCCTACAATACAGATACCTTGTCCTTGGTCTGAAGAATATACTTTTGTTTTGTTTTTTGTACTCTACATTGTTGACAAGCCTCTCGAAGAGCTACAGGCTATTTTCGTTCACTCCATTCTGCACACTGTTCCTTGGTTTAATACTTTTTACTTGTAATGCGTCATACTCAGCTTTCTATGTGAAATACAACTTGACTGGAGACATGATGTTTCCTATTGTATTCCCACACAAGGTTCCCACTATAGAGTATATGGTGCGTGCAAGGAGACGTGATGTGAATGTAGCTCGGAGTTTGTTCTGCTAAAAGTGTCGACTGGAGCAGAATAGCTGGTGTGTAGATGAAAGGCACTCTGGGACAGCCTGTGCCGAGCGGGGGGTCAGATGTCATGTGACCCTGTGCTAGGTCCTCATCATGGCTCCTCAAGCGTGAACACTGTTGTCACGCGCACAGAAACTGCAGCTGTAGCTTGCTATTATTACAATGAGTCCACTTTCTATAAAACTTTAAGAAGCACCACGGACAATAGTTCCTGTATCCAAGGACATTTATTGTAGATGCAAGCAATGAATTTTGTTTGTGATGCCTGGGGGTTGTGTTGTCTGTGGATATCCAGCCTCAAGATATGCCAGTGTAACAATGCACAGCCGTTACCAAGGATACCTCAAGCTCCGTGCTTAGTGCTTTGAGCATATTCCATGTTATACGCTCAACAATGGAAGCAGGAGCATGGCCAGACCTGAATGGTGTGTGGAGTGTTCAGCTCTCGTGGTTCAGTAATGATGGTAAATGAACTTGTGATTCAGAGTCCCTGCCTCTTTACAACTGCAGGACCACACTCTTAACTAAAGTGCAATGTCAAAATCCCCCAAAATGGTACTTGATTTTCCCCAATACTCGGTTGCAGTTTCTTTTTGGTAACATTAAAAATAATTACATTTTAATAGCCTTAATGAACAAGACATTCAGGCTTAGTAACTATTTAATAACTCCCAACCACAAGCCTGAATCATTCTTATTAAATGTTTTTGTTCATTATAAATTTAAGACTAATTTAGGTGCATAACTATTAAAGTACAATCATATAATATAGTGTGAAGCTATTTGTATTTTTTAAATGTTTTGTTTACATTTATACAATCTGTTTAAATGATTGCTACATTGACAGCACCAAACTGTGGCTGTTCAGTGGCTCTGTCCAATGCATTTGTCTAAGCTGGAGGGTGCGCTACTTGCTCTCCATGGAGATGTTATTTCTTTAAATACTAGCATTAAAAACAACTTTAAACATATCTCCCTTGTATGTGTTCAATGTTTATAGCTCTAAAATACTGTAAAAAACCTGAATACTTGATATGTGCAAGATTGCTCTTCTCCATAGATCTGACCATTAACCTGTCTCCATTGTGATGACCAAGTTTATTTCCATACTTTGGAATAATAAATGCAAAACTTTTAATATCTCCATGGACACAAGCAGGTGGCGGACCTTCTACCAGAAAAGTTACACACTTCTGATGTGTCAAATGTGAAACAGATCTTAAAATTGTAGCATAACATTAATACAGATACAGTTACAGTTATTTTGTTCACTTGGATAAAACATCTCCACAGTGCTCAACCTGCCTCTCTGTTTTCTCCAGGACTGTGCCTCTCAGTGTGACGCTGAGCTCCTGTCTCTGCTGTTGGACGCGGGGCTCTTGGTGGGGTGTGTCTCTTCTCCTCTGTACCCTGTGCTCAGCTCCCACATGTTGGCCCACCAGAGCGAGGGGGGCTGGGACGTGGAGCGCTCCGCCTCCGCCCTCCTGTCTGCGGGGCACGCTGCAGAGGCGGGCTCCCTGCTGCTGGCCCACAGGGGAACGCATCAGTCACACTTCACCTTCAACACAGCGCTTGCCGTGCTCAAGAAGTGGCTCTGACACAAGAGCAGCTGCGCATAGGCTCTCAGTGTGATCAGGAGGAACGAAGGCCGTGCTACAAAAGAAGATATGGTTTTGGTCCATTTACTTATTTATATTAAAGTTGTGCTGTGTTACCTTTCTGTTGGGGGATCCATCACATGTTTGTCTGCATGGAGATTTCATTATGCCTGGAATGTTCCACATTATCGCATTAAACCTATCCATCTTGAATTTATTACAGGTGTTGTTATTGCCACAATCTCCACATATCTGATCTGGAACTTGCCCTAGAGATAAGTTTTATGCCATACTGCAGAACATTCCACATAAAGCAATAAAGTCTCCATGGAAATAAGCAGCTGGTAGATCCACCATCAGAAAAATTACATAGTTCACCTTTAATAAATCTTGGATAATTATTTTTGTTGTTTGGGATGAACAAAATGTTGGCTTTTCTGTCCTATTGCAGTGCTGCAAATGAAGTATACTGTAATTAATGCAAATACTGAATAGATTTTTGAAGTACTTTATAAACTTGTTAATCTCTCTTAAGCCATTATCCTGGTCTCCCACACCATGGTTCTCAGACATTCTATCATAGGAAAATGCTTAATCTATTTTTTTGACCTATTAACTGTTATTGTTACACCTCACTTAAAGCTATGGCCACTTGTTGCTGTATGTTATCTTATAATTTTTCTGTTATGCCTTATGTAATTCTAACTTGGACCAAATTTCTTGTATTGAAGATATAATAATGAAAGCTACTTTTTTTCTTGTCAGTCAAACACTTGTGTAGAGATAACATGTTTCCCTGTGTTACATCAACAAAGTACGTCAGTATTTGTCTGTCCTGAGACCTATGACCTATGACCTTTGCAGCCCATAGTTACAGGCAGATGCAACTAAAATAAGGATGATTAAGCCTCTATTCCCAGTACAGATCTGTGTAATTTCTTCACCATCACAATCTGACCATTAAATTGTTAGTTGTTATTTTTCTCACACTTCTGGTACATTGTCAACCAAATAATAATAAGTAATAAAACTGGGAAAAATTAGTCCACTTTTGTGTTGAGCGTGAACAGCAATGAAGCAGCCGTCAGCCTGTGCTCTGTAATTGGGTTTGGTTGGTGAACATGTCAACAACAGCTGTCTGCCTCCAAGCTAAAGCAATGCCGGATACCTCTAATACACCCACATCTGTTATACTGAGATCCTCCCCCTCATTGCGGCGCATGTACTGCTTGTCTTGTAGTAATTGCAGTGGCCTGGAAGCATAGGTGCACATTTGCCTGTTGGTGCGTGGCAGGTTTGGTCTTTGCACAGTCCAGGCCTCTTCCCTATTGTTTGCTATTGTTTTCACCCTAATAGTGGCTAATTAATTCTCTCTAAACAAATGAGCCCCCGATTGTGTTACAGGCATGTGCTAAGACTACAGAGACTACATCGCTTCACGCTGGGGTAATAGTGGTGACAAAAACACAAAGAGCATGCTTAGTTGGACTTTAGAAATACAGCTTTGAGTTTGGAACATGAGAAATCTCTAATAAACACTCATAAATCATGACATCGAGGGAGTTTTTTGTTTTTCATTGTGTCCATAGGAGCTGTATGGTGCAGCTGGGAGAAATGACAATGATAATAAAATAGAATTTAAAATGGTAATAATAATACGGGTTTGACAAAGTCTCTCAAATCGCTGTAGCCATTATCCATTCACTCCATACTTAGTCATGGTAAGTATGCTTCAACCCACAGCTGTTCTATGGCTGACTGATGTAGTGAGGCTGCCATGTTGTGCTTTGGCCCTCCTCCTCCAGCCATAGATAAACATGGCAATCTTTAAGAGCTTTCTGTGTTTTTGGGCATGGTTTTGTGAGGCTAATGTGAGTAAACCCTAATATACAAAGTGTTGCCATTGCGTATACTTCTTTTTTTAATTTAGAAACATTAAACATTTATGGAGCAATGTTTAGCTCAACCTTTTAGTCGAGAGTTGTCCAAGTCTAAAATATTTCAGAAAAATCAACATAAAACACTTCAAGGTGTATTGTTTAAAGGAACAGTTCGGAATTTTGGACATAGGGCCTCATTTCCTAGTGAGCCAGACTGTTGAAGACAGGTGGAGACACTTTTAAAAATTTTCCATCCAGTCCTTGTATTTGCAGAGGTCGCTGGTGCTAGGCTAGTGCATGTCAATAGCCATAGTTAGCCTGCCACTAAAAATAGTCTTAGCCAATCCACAAAACACTTGAGGTAAAACAATTATAACGCCAGGCTGTCGATGTAAATGTCTGTGTTGATGGAATTATTTTAGAAGTAAAACCAACCTTGCATTTGAAGGATTTGTGTCTGAGCAGCAGCAGCAAGTTGTACTTCCTGATAGAAAGTTTTGTTAGTGAAGCACTGATATATGAGAAAATAGTTCCTCAACATGTGACAATTGATGCGATGCAAGGTCAGTTTTATTTCAAACATTATTCTATTAACACAGATATTTACATCAATAATCTGGTCTAATAACAGATTTGCTTCGGGTGCTTTGTGGAGTGGGTAAGACTGTTTTTAGCACCAGGCTAACTATGGCCATTGACATGCACCAGCCACCTCTGTAAATACAAGGAATGGATGGAATTTTTAAAAAAGTCTCTCCACATGTCTCCAATATTCTGGCTCACTAGGACATGAGGCTGTACGTCCAAAATTCGGGACTGTCCTTTTAACTTTTCTGGTGCAGGTCCATCGAATGATTTCCTCCATGGAAATATTATTGCTTTGTCTGGAATGTTTCACACTGTGGCATTAAACCTTTCTATCTTCATGGAGACCAAACTAGAACAAGTTACAGGTCAGATCTGTGGAGAGATGACCCCGCTCACAGTCAGAATGTCTGTTTTCCTAAGTATTTTTGAACTATAAAACCAACTGTAATTGAATAAATGTAAGGTAGATCTGTGTAATGCCATGTTGTGGAATATTCCAGGCAGAGCATTGACGTCTCCATAGAAACAAGTAGAAACTTTACACAGTGCACCTTTAAACCTTGATGGCACGGGAGCTGATTTGAGTTAATCCCACTGTTATAAACGTCTTCTATACATTTCCTCCATAAGGACCTTGTTTGTTTGGAGATAACTGCTGCTCTCTGACCCACATATCCTCCATGAGTTTGCCTGAGCTGCACTCTTGTTTGTTTTCCAGTCTGTTCAAAGTATCTGATCAGATTCAGTTTATTCTCTTCTCCTCCGAGGGTCCTGGATGTGCTGCCATTGAAAACACTGATGGCTTGTGCCTCTGTTTATGTTAATAACTGCAAACAGAACATATATTACTTGTAAAAATATCGTTTGAGGGCAAGATGGAAAAAACCCATTTGTGTTGTTTGTCAGTGAGTATTAGAAAGGATGTTCCCTGGAGCAGACAGCTTTGTTTGGGAGCAAATACAGAAAAGTCCTATCAAATCCAACATAATGAAGATGAATGAAGAAGCATAGAAAGAGTTCATTTTATGTTAATACTAAATGTAATTGCACATCATTGTGTTGAGGCCTTCTGTTTGTTTGTCTATTGAGACTCCTCTAATCAAAATATCAGCTTAATTTAATTAGAAAAACCGCAATAATTCCATTAACCTTTTTCTGTGAGCTCATATCCTTGGGTGTTTTTGAGTGGTAAAAAAATTTTGAACCGTTTCCATGGCAATTAAAACTTAAAAAGTATATGTCCTGAATGGTCAAAAGTCCTTAAAATGGTGTTTGAAAAAGTCATATGATATTTGCTCATTCCTCACTTCAGACCAATAAGGCAGAGTGAGCTACTTGTTTGTCAGTATTTTTATTTTTTAAGTTATTTTATCATTTATTGAGTTTTAATTGTCTTTATGTAAATGTAAGAAGCTAAGAAGTTTCTGGGTCATGCTGAAATATTTGTCTGTTTCTTCAGCAGTCATTGTTTTCTTCACAGGTAGAAAGGAGAATACAATACAAAATACAATGCAACAATTTCAAAGTTAGACTATTTTTATTTGTTTTGGGAAGTTTAAGAAAGGCCTAGAGACATATAAAGAGATTTTCAAAAGTACTGCCGGACAGAGGACACTGAAGACTGAGTGGATTAGCTGTGGGGAGTTTTGGTCTTGAGTCTTGCTCCATCTTTATTATTGAGCTGACCCCATTAAGTTCTGGGACCAGTCTGAGTGCACGCTAATGATATTATTATTTTATTCATCTTTATTAGGGAGACAGAAAGCACACAATATTTTACTGCAGCTTCAAAAATCACAATCCTTTTGGTGACACTTTAAGATTTACGTTATCTTTAAATATATCGAGATACAATGAAATTACATACACAGTGCATTACATTGACATACAATCTAGGTGTATAAAGATCAGATTAATGCATGATGTTACTGCTAATAAAAATGCTTTATCAATCACAAACTTGAAAGAAAAACGGGTAAGCATTGCAAGGATTGACTGTGAGTGTTGACAGTGCACCCTCTGCTTCATTTTACCATTTGAAAAAGGTTGTTCCAGGTCTGTCCACATGCCTGAAAAAGATGCATATGAATACAAGTGTTTGTGAGAGCTATAGGAACCAGTTTCAATATCCATTTCCTACTGTCACTGTTTGAAACTTTGATAAAGCAGGAAAGGACGCATATTTCAGTATTTTCTGGTCTACATTATAATGTTGTTTCCTCATCACAAACATACAGAGTTCTGTTTTATATAACCCTGCATAGTTAGACTGAGTTCTTCTCTCAAACAGAAATCACTCTATTCCACCTTGTGATGTCATGTGGTAATAGTGCTCTACTGTGTTTTTAAAATCCATACACCTTTATTATTTGTCTAATTTCAGCCCAAAAGTTAACTTGAAAATTACTACTACATGACATCACAAGGTGGAACAGAGCATTTTCAGGCGTGGAGATGAAGACAGACTAATAATGCAGGATTACTCAAGCATGTATGAATGAAACAAAACACAACTCTAGGTATGTTTTTGAGGAGGTTGAGGCTACGTTTATATGATGACAGTCTGAACAGAAGACACAAACTGGCGTCGCATCTACTTTTTATTCCGCATTAGGACAAGTGTTTTCAGGAGAAAATCTGCGTGCATATGGTGACGCCAAAGTACGTGGAATTTGATTGGCCTTCACTCAAAGCAAAAAGGGCATCTTTGGACATACGGAAGTTTTCAAGCCACGCATTTTCATCAGCTACTCTTTCCAGAAAGTTGTCCCACCATCAATTGGTTCTCCCAGGTCTCGTCCATACCCGTCTGGCTCGCCTGCGATGAACTTGTGCATCCAGAATTTGACAGAGGTAATTGTAGATCCTTCTCTGTTCACTGTAGTGTCTATGTATATTCTGTCAATTTGTTAGGACATTTGTTTCTGTGTACTGTACGTATGTGACGTAAACACGTACACGATGTGAGCAGATCTGACCACAGTTTTGCATCTGTAGACTGAAACGCTATGGCGGAGTGTATTCAACTTGTCCACTCAGGAGGATGGTTTCAGATTTTTGCCCCCCAAAACGCCATCACCGTCTAAACAAAAGGCATTTTCGATAAAATATTTTGTCGTTTTTACCCACAAGCTTTCTCTTGTAAACAGGCCCTGAATCTCACAAGAGTCAAGTTTGCATAATATAGAACCTTCAAAAAGTTACATAAAGTGTGACTCAACTGTTCTTGGTTCAGATTGACTTTTCTCACACTGAAATGTTCTATTTGACCAGAATTACATTTCATATTTCATCTTTGACCAACGAAATATAAGAGATCGCTGAGCAGTCCTTATATGTGTCAGCTGTGGCCTACAGTTAGCATAATGGTTCCTGGAAACAATTTTGCTGTCAGTTCTGTCTGTCAGTTTCATTCACTTGCACTAAAGTCGTCATAGTTACAGTCACCACACATCAGTCCCTTCGTTTATTCATTTCCTTCATAGGTTCACATAGACTTTGACAAATTGTGACTCCAACCTGCTTACTTCCTCAGGTGAAGTATTATTTTTTTTGTAGTTTTTAACGTTGTCATCCAAATATTGACATCCACTCATATCTCGCTGTCCAGTACTTTATCTTTAAATATTTTTACACAACTCAAAGCAAAAAACCCATAGATATCCAGCTGGACAGGAAGTAGTGGTGCTAACAGTGTAGTTGCCAGGTGTGGCTGCGCATAGAGCCAATTCCATCACTTCTACAAACTAAAAAAATAAAACCAAAAAGAAGTTGGTGTTGACAAATCCCACCGAGACTTCAAGAGCTTCTTTCTCTGTGCCTCTCAGGCAGCTCACTCTCTTTTCATCTTGTTTGAGCTGTTCCTAATAAACTGACATATAATTACATTTTTATTGACTCCCACCTTCATTTAGCATTCCTCTCCCAGCGCTTTGCTAACATATTCCTCAGTCGTCTGGGGTTAATCCTGTGGGCCATGTGCTGGAACAAAAGCAGAGCGTGCATATCAGTGAAGACCACTTTGTCAGAAATAACATGGGCTTCTGGTTATACTTACTCCCTTTTAAGCTGCTGTGTGCCGGAA